TTAACGTTTGACAGTGATGTCAACGGTACCATTTTGTCATTTATATTTACTGCTTAAAATGACTCTTTTTTTTTTTTTTTTACAACTGATTTAAATGGTGTCTGGAACTTGCTACAATGACATGATGCAGAATACTTTTTACTGACAGTTTTAAACTATTGCTACGTAGCTGGGACTTCATACTCTGTCTTTAAAGGCTATGATAATGATGGTGTTGCCGAATAAAAGCTTCGTCTTTCTACTGTATGTGAGCCTGGAGCTCTGTAGGATGTACCGTAATCGATACTATCCTTACCAGAATCCTTGTGATAGTACGCCTTTGAAACAAACCTTTGGGGTAATTACTGAGCCAACCTCACGCTGTAGCGCTAGACTCTGAAAGTATGGTTGCCTTTACTCAAATGTGTAAAGTAAATGGTTTTTATTACAAATGTTGTGATGCTCAAAAATAATGCCTGCTCCGTTTCCTGCTTATTCAAAAGAAGTCAATGGTAACTCTTTTCCTTTTTATTTTGATACCAGGAGATATGTGTTTTTTTCAACATAAAGACAAAATAATATAAAAATATACTTGGAATCTTAAAAGGTAAATTTTATATGCAAAATAGCTGTATTCTTAAGAATCTCTTTAGAATTTTAGTTAAAAGTATCATGGTTTTTTGATCATGAAAAACAACAAAAAACTTGAGGTACTGTAATCATTTTTTTGTCTTCTTCCACATAGTCTTTAGCTGTGGTACTAGATCACATTAACATTCTCAAAATGTCATCTTGAAAAAAATTAATTACATTGTTTCTGCAGTCTAGCTTCCCAGCGACGCTATACTTGACGTTACAGGATGCAGTTGGATATTTAGTAGGGAAACTGATTCATTCCTCTGAAGATGCTGATTCACTACAGCTTTAGGAAATAAAGATTTGGAAGAGCTCTAAATATTTTGCTCTGTTACTGTGTTCAAAGCTGAATCTGTTATTGCACTGAAAACTACTGTAAAAAACAAAGTCGGCTGGAAGTTAAAGTTCTCTGAATTCTTAATTTACCCCGTAAGGGCATTGCTTGTAGCACGTTCTCTGCTTTCTCTCTGTGATACCGCTTCTTCCCGTGCTGGGTGCACTGACTGAACTCAGTGAGCAACAAGCAAGTATTTGGGTTGCTTTTCGTTATTGTATTAGTGTTCTTGTGTCTTCTGTAATGTCCAGTAATTGAACTCTGCTTTGAATCCAGAATTAGCTTCCTCTTATTTTTAGTGGTACCTCAGTGTTGCATTTAATAAATATAACTTATCTTTTATAACACTTTTTTGTTATTAGAGGCTATTATCTCCATTTTGCCAATGAGGCCTATGTGGGGGGAAAAATGATTTATTTTCAAAAGTAATCAGCATGGTCATAGTGCCTTTCATTGTCTTCAAAGGTGACTGGAAGTTTGGGCAGACTGTCTGAAAGGGTCAGGAAGCAGAAGGGTGATTTTGGGAAACTGGGAGGACTTTTAACATCTCTAAGAGTGAGGAACGGAGGGACAGATGGGGCCATTACTCTGAGACAGAAAAAACAACTTTGTTTTGCATAGTAAGCATGATACTGATGCAGGACTGATCAAGAAATGCTCAATGTCTGCAATACGGCAGACCTTGGAGGATGTGTTTTGTCTCTGCAGCTTGCGGAGGTCTACCTCACCTACTTATTTTCCTTCTCTGTGCCAAGACAGGGGAGACCTAAGAGCAGCAGTTAGCTACTGCATAGGTTAATAGGTCCCGAGGAGGATAATAGGCCCAAAATAGGGACACGTTGGAAAAGCAGATCAGACTGGATGATCCTCATGGTCTTTGGACTCTGACACTTGCTGACAGCTTGGAGGTCCAGTGCTCTTAAAGATATCCAAGTTTTCAGTGCACCTTGAAGGGTTTAATCTGAGAGCAGGGCAGGTTTTAATTTCTGTTCCAGTAAGGTATTTTGTCTTAAAGAGAAATCATGTTAACTCTATGCAGGATTTGTCATGCAAACTCTGCAAAAGTGTTATGTGCATCACTGCGTGCAGAGTTTGGATTTAAGGGTAACTTTAGCATATTTGCTAATGAAACGCTCCATTTTTTCAGAGGTTTTAATATTGTAGTATTTGACTTGAGGAGATGATGATCCTACAGGGCATTCTGTCTTAGTGTTAGTTTTATCAGTGAATTCTCTTTTATCCCTTCAGGCTACTTATCTTGTCTTTGTAATTCAGTCTTCTAGTTCCACTGTTCTGCACTGTTGTCTAGTTCTAGGCTTCTTGCCTGCAGCATCTATTCTCCTAATCTGTCAGGGCTGAGCTGTTTTTTTTGCTAAAATTTCCCCTGGAAACATTGCTTTAGGCAAATGCCAAGCATTGAAAGCTTCAGTCCAAATGGCTAGTGTGGTGGGAAATA